CATGGTACCCTGCACTGCCCACAACCCTAACCATGGTGCCCCTGCACCCCCTCTGCACCCCAACTGCAGTACCCCTGCACCCCACTATTCCGCCTCCCTGCACCCCAGTCATGGTACCCCTATACCCCACCTGTGCCCCTTTGCGCCCCTAGCCACAGAACCCCTGCACCACCTTGCACCCTTAACTACGGTCCCCCCATACGTCTCTCATAGCCTCACTGCACCCTGTACTCCCATACCCCCCAGCTGTTACACTTCACCCCTCCTGCTGCCCCCCCATGTGCCCCTAAGCATCCCACATTGTCCTGCTTCCCCTGGCCAGCCCCCCTTTCCTCACCTGCACCTCCTTACACCAGCATCCTGCCTTTCCTGCCTGCACCACCGCGTGCCCCTGCCCCATACACCCTTCTTTCCCCCATAACCCCCTTCCCCACCTTGTTGCTCCCCTTTCCTCCCTACTAGCCCCCTACCCCACGGCTCACCCCTTGCCCCATGCCTGGGCATCACAGCTTGCCCTGGCACCACATTTGGGGCAGGAACATGTGCTTTGGGGGGGGGGGGGGATGAAAGGAGGGGGGGGGGGGCCCCCATCCTGCCCCCATACTCAAGTCAGGGGGACTTCTTCCATAGTGGTGGCGTCCCAGGACTCGCACCAGGGAGACCTTTGCCCTGTCCTGCTTTGGTTTCTGTGACGACCGAGCTTGCTGGCGGACTTTGGAGGGGCCAGTGGGTGATTAACCATCTCCCTGCTCTTTCCCCAGAGCTTTGCAGCCCCAGTCCCTGACATGGCACCCGGGAAGCCCGGGAAGAGCATGGGGGCCTCGGAGGACCCCTCGGTTACACTTTTCCGGGAGTACCTGAGGATCGACACTGTCTACCCCAAACCTGACTATGGTGAGGATTGGGGGGAAGGGACCAGGAGCTGTGTGGGGATCCGGCAACGTGGCTCCTTCTCCTGTACCTTGCAGCTCCGGTCTTTGGCCCTGGGTGCCCAAGTCCTCGGCTAGGGCTTTTTTGATCGTAGTGTTCAGAAGCGGATGCATTTGTGCCTTATCTCTGCTGGCGTCTTTGGTTGGGGCAGGGACATATTGAGTGCACCCAGAGTTGCCGTTTGCTTCCTGCAGCCCTGTGCCCCAGGGCCCCCTTCCCATGCTGCCCTAGCTCTGGGACGGATGCTTGTGATAACTCCAATTAGACCTCCTTCTGGTAATGTTTCCACGCTCCCACTAAAATACATCAAGATTTTTTTTTTTATTGGTGAGGAACTCCCAAAACTCCTGCGGAGGACCATCCACCCTGAACTTGCTCCTTTCAATTTTTATGTTCCTCTAGTCCTTGCCCCAAAGGGACGGTGACAAGCTGCTCCTGTCCCCACTCCTGGCCACCTTTCATGCTCAGGACCTCCATCACCTGCCTTCTCTGGTCGCCTCTTTCCTTGGCCTGGGAACCCTGGAGAGCCTTTTGGTGCCTGGGGGGTTGCAGTGAGAGGGGAGGGAGATCCCGACATAACACCGGGCATCCCTGTTCCTCCCCAGATGCAGCCGTCCGGTTTCTGGAGCGTGTTGGCACCGACCTGGGCTTGGCCTGCCAGAAAGTGGAGGTGAGTGAGGCGAGGAGCAGCTCCCAGTCCATCCATTCAGCCAGCCAGCCAGCCAGCCATGCCCTGGTCCTTAGTGACCAGGCTGTTCCCCTGCCTGACACCCCAGAGCTGGGCAGGAGTGAATCCCCTCTGCCTGTAATCCTCTGCTGACCTGAGGCCTTCCTTAAGCCTGTATTTGGGCTGGTCCCTGCTGACCTTTGCGGCCGCCTGTGCTATGATTAGCTGGGGACCTGGCAGGGTCACGTTACCTGGGGACGTCCATCCTGCTGGGCACCAGCTCTCCCAGGGGACTCCTGGGCACCAGGGGAAGACGCTGGGATCTTCTCCCCTCCTCCATCTGAATTGCAGCCAGGTCTCATGCCTGTGGCTGGGCTCTGTCTGGCTGTGGGGAGGTGCAGGCATGCCTGCTCCTGCTGCCTGCCCTCTCCCAGCAGAGAAAGGGGTGACCTGCTGGGTGGCATCAAAATTTTCCCAGACTGATGCTTTTCAGCTCCAGCCTGCCTGTCCCAGCCCCTCTGTCCCCAGCCTGGACCCCAGTGACATCCTGCCCTTGCTTCACAGGTGTGCCAGAGCCATGTGGTGCTGATCCTTACCTGGCAGGGCACAAACCCCCGCCTGCGCTCCATCCTCCTCAACTCCCACACCGACGTCGTGCCTGTCTTCGAGGTGCTGGGACAGGGCTAGGGGTGGGATGGGCACAGTGGGGAGGACTAGGGGTGGCAGGCAAATGGGAGCTGGTGCTTGCTGTGCCCCTCTGCCACCACTGCCGCTGTTTCCTGCAGGACCACTGGACCTACCCACCCTTCGAGGCTGTTAAGGACTCGCAAGGCAACATCTATGCCCGGGGTGCCCAGGACATGAAGTGTGTCTCCATCCAGTGAGTGGAGGGCTCTGTGCCTGCTGTGGGGAGTGGGCACGGCATGAGGGTGCCTCTGAGTGATGCAGGATGGGATGCTACCATCCCCAGGGTCCCTGGGGCTGTGGGTGCCACCACTTGACCCCCGTTGGAGTGGCTCAGCCCCTCTCCTCCATGATGCCCAGGTACCGCTTTCTCCCCACAGGTACCTTGAGGCCATCAGGAGGCTGAAGGCGGAGGGAAAGTGTTTTGCCCGCACCATCCACCTCACCTTTGTGCCTGGTGAGTCCCCAGGGTGTCCACTCTTGGGGGGACAGGAGGGGCTAGCAGCTGGGTGATGCTGTGGAGTTCCCTGTGGTGTGGCAGCTGGGACAGCCTCTCTGGATTTTGAGCTCCACTAGATTGGGGCTGGAGGGGTTTCCGGGTCCAAGGACATCAAGTGCGCCGGTGGCATCCAGGCTGGCATGGAAGGAGGAGCGGGGAGGGTGGGCCAGGGGACACCCCGGTTCCTTCCTCCATGCCAGGCTCTCCCCTGCAGATGAGGAGATGGGCGGACACAAGGGCATGGAGATGTTCGTGCAGCGCCCCGAGTTCAGAGCGCTCAACGTGGGCTTTGCCCTGGACGAGGGTGAGTGGTGGTGGGGCTGGCATGGGGACATGTGTCCTCTTGGCACGCACCCCTCTGCCTGTTGGCATCATTCCCCAGGCACCAGCACCCGGCACGGCTTCCAGGGACCCACTCAGGGTCTCCTTCCCCTGGCCAATGACCCACACAGTGCCAGCCTGAAGGGGAGGTGCTGCCAGGTCAGAACAGAGCAGAGCAAATCATGGCACCCTTGTGCCCTGCTGACCCCCCGTTTGTGCCCACTGCAGGCCTGGCCAGCCCATCCGACACCTTCAGTGTCTTTTACGGCGAGAAGAGCCCGTGGTGTGAGTAACTGCATGCCCACCACCCTGTCCCTGGCTCTGCCAGGCGCTGGGGCACCAGTGCTGCGCTGGGCTTTCTGCTCAATGCCTCCCTCTCCCCCCGTTGCTGCAGGGATAAAGGTGAAGTGCGTGGGCAGCCCCGGGCACGGGTCCCGCTTCATCAGCAACACGGCGGCTGAGAAGATGGTAAGAGAGGGGGTGATACCCTGCACAACCCCCCGCCTGCCCTAGGCTTGCCAGGCGCCTGCCCGCAGCGCTGGTCCTCATCCTCCTGCCCTTCCCTCCCCAGCAAAAAGTCATCAACTCCTTCCTGGCCTTCAGGGAGAGTGAGAAGCAGAGGTAGGAGACGGGCAGCGGGATGGCAGTGGCTTCAGTTTGGTCCGCGGAGGGGGTCCTTGGGATCCCAAGCCAGGCTCTGATCCGGCGCTGCCGCCCTGTGCCTCAGTTTCCCCATTTGGGGGTGGCGGCGGGGTGGGGGAGCGCTTCCCCTTCTCCCTGGGTGGCAGAGCGTGACTCTCCCTTGCGTCCCCCGAGGCTCAAGTCCGACTCAAGCCTGACCCTAGGGGACGTCACCTCACTTAACCTGACCATGCTGGAGGGGGGCGTCTCCTTCAACGTGGTGCCCTCTGAGATGGCGGCCGGCTTCGATGTCCGCATCCCACCCACTATGGACCTGAAGGTGGGCATCATGCTGGCCCTACCCGGGAGGGGAGCAGGTTGGGGGGTACCCGCTCACACCCCTCCTCTGGTCTCTGCCTCAGGCCTTTGAGGAGCAGGTGGCTGCATGGTGCCGGGGTGCTGGGGATGGTGTCACCTATGAGTTTCACCAGGTGAGGGGTCTCAGCCACCCGGGTGCATCGTGCCCGTCCCTCCCCTGCCACGTGCCCACCCCCCTGCCCCTCACCTGCCTTCTCCCTCTGTCAGAAATGCATGGACCAACACATCACCTCCACCGAGGAGTCAGACCCGTGGTGGAAGGCCTTCAGTGGGGTCTGCAGGGACATGTGAGTAATGTTCCCAGGATGGGTGGGACCCTGGCAGGGACATCCTCTGGTGGGAGCCGGCGGGTCCCTGGGGGTCTCTGGGGTCATGGCAGGGGTTGGGAGGAGATGCTCTATGCCATGCCATGCAACGGCATCTCCCTGTGCCCCCCAAAAGGGATGGGACTGAATGTCCTGCAGGGCTCAGGGACCTTCCTGGCGTGGTGTCTTTTCCTGCAGGGTGGTGGGGGGAAAAGGGGACCCAGCTGCCCTCATGCTCATGCTGACGCAGGGTCTTGCTTGGCAGGAAGCTGCAGCTCAAGCTTGAGATCTTCCCAGCTGCCACCGACAGCCGCTACATCCGAGCGGTGAGTGCAATGCCAGCCCCCCCATGGATCCCCCACCCGGGGTGAGACCTGCAGCCCCAAGCAGGAGCCATGCCTGGGTGGAGGGGGGCACGCAGTGCCTGTCCCAGCCCTGGCCTCACCCCGTACCCCCCCATCTCCAGGCAGGACACCCTGCTATCGGCTTCTCGCCCATGAACCGCACTCCGGTGCTGCTCCACGACCACAACGAGTTCCTCAACGAGCAAGTCTTCCTGCGGGGCATCGACATCTACGCCCACCTCCTGCCTGCCCTGGCATCGGTGCCCCCGCTGCCTGCCGAGGGCTGAGTGCCCCAGCAAGGGTCAGGGATGGGAGGGTGCCAAGCAGTGGGATGCAAGGCTTTAAAAAGGGGGCAGGGGGTGGGCACAGCAAATGCCTCCCAGTGTGCCAGGGACCCAGCTGGCGTCATGCCATGTTGGCTGTGCTTAAGGCTGGCCCGATGGTGATGCCTGTGCTGCGTGTCCTGGCTGTGCCCTCAAAATCTGGGTCCCAGCCACCCTGTGCAAGTCAATAAATGTCCTTGGTAAGCACAGCCAGGACTGGGTGGAGTCTGTCCGTCTGTCCGTGGTGCTGCCCGTGGGGTATTGGGGAGCCCAGGCACTGTGGAGTTCCTCAGTGTGGTGGGGTCTGCTGGAACCCTCCCTGCTCCCCTGAGCTTGTTGGGCTGGAGGACGGCACTGCAGGCAGGATCTTGCCCGGGCAGGCTGTGGAGCTGCTCCTCAGGAACCTCCACTCCAGATTGGCCTCAGGATGCAGGGGGGAGCAGGAGTGGCCAGCGGCGCTGGGATTCGTCCTGCTCCCTCCCTCCCATCAGCTCCTGCTGTGGTGCCGCTCAGACCCAAAACCCTTGGGTCTGAGCAGGCAGCATGCAGGTCCAGGCAGGCAGCCTCAGCTTATCTGTTAGAGCTGCCTGTGGGCTGCATCTCCTCCTTGCTCTTACCCTGCTCTGCGCTGGTCTCCAGCACCCTGGGGTGCTGGATCTGTCCCAGAGCCACGCTGTGAGTCCCGCCGGCCCCTATCGTCTTCCCTTGGGAAACTAGGGGCCAGGGGCCAGCCAAGGGCCTGCTCAGCCAGTTGAGGTGGTTTTGTCCCAGTCGAGGGGGTCATGGAGCTGCTCTGTTACAAAAGGCTGGGGGTGAGCTGGAACCCCCCCATACTCCTGCCTTCCTCCTCAGTTGAAGCTACTGCAACCCTCAGGGGGCTGCGGGAGGGCTGGGGCTAATGAGGCTGCCCCCGTGCCAGGCTGGGAGAAGGGATGAGGCTGGTGGCGATGGAGCGCTGCAGAAGCCGCCAGCTCCTTGGCTCCTTCCCCTCCATCCAGCGCTGGGGGGAAATCCAAGGCTTTTGGGAGCGGGGGACACTGGCCCATGCGCTGAGGCTCCCCAGGGAAGCCTGTGTGCATTCTCTGATGTCTCATGAACATGTCCCCTCACCCTGCAGCCCTGGGGAAGGATGGCGTGGGAGTGGCGTGGGCGCTGTGCGGCACCGTGGGGTCCTGCTTGCTGGCTGTGGTCCCCGCTCAGGGGGCAGGTGAGCGGGCACCTTTGCAGGCAGACAGCGGTGCATCCCCGCTGCCCTGTGGGTGCACCAAGGCTGGGCGCAGCACCCCGTGCCTCCCTCGATCCTG